CCCCCCCCCCCTCCCCTCCATACGCAGGACCTCCCGGAGGGCACCCCCCTGATTTGCAAGCCGAAGGTGGAGGCAAAGGCCGATGGCTCCGCCGCAGCAGCGCCGCCGGACTCGGCCGGCGGCACCGCGGCCGCAGACGGGGCGGGGGCGGCAGCAGGGAGTGGCGCAGCTCCAGCAACGGCAGGGGCTGCCGGTGACGGCGAGGCTTTGGTGAAGGTCGAGGACAGCGCTGCTAAGGCGGAGGGTGGTGGTGGTGGGGATGGCGGAGGGCGAGGGGGGGAGGGTAACGGGGCAGAGGCGAAGAAGGTGGAGGGGGGGGAAGGGAAGGAGGAGGAGGAGAAGGAGGAGAAGTCGCCCGGGAAGAAGGGCAAGCGAAAGGTGAGTCATGTTACAGGCATCATGCTTGTTTTTGTTGTTGTTGGTGGTGGTGGTGGTGGTGGTGGTGGTGGTGGTGGTAGTGCTGCTGTGTGCTGTGTGATGTTGGTGGAGGCGATGTGGCATCGTGTTTTGATGCTGTAGGTTGTTGTTAGCGCTGGTTGTGGTTGTGGTTTAGCTTTCGGTTTTTCACTTGACGGATGCGAAACCGTGCGTGTGTGCGGCATGAGTTCGATTTCGTATCCGCGATTATCGCGAACATGGCATCGCTTCACGGCATCGCTTCGTGCTTTTGTTGTGTGGGACCTGGTTTGTCTGAACGCATTCCCGCCGTGCGCTGGACATTCACGAACTTCCGCGGGAATAGAAGTATCTTCCGTTGAGTAGCCTTTTTTTTCATGTGAAGACAACAACCCAACAAGAGGCGCACTCCCCTGGTATGACTGGGCCCGGGATGCAACCATTGTTTGCAAAAAATCCAAGTAGAAATACACAACCTCCCTTGAAAATTTTTCTGTGTGTGTCCCACGCTCTTCTTGGGCGTTCCTTGTTGACGCCTTTTTTTCATGACGGACGGCTACACCTGCGTAAGGCGGGAGACGGTGTGAAGAAGAAGGCGAAGAAGGCGAGAACATCCAAGTCCGGTGGCGGAAGCAAGAAGCGAGGGGTTAAGCCGGAGGAAGCTCCCATCGTCGGTGGGTTGTATTTTTTTTTCTTTTTTTTTTCCTATGATAGTACGACCCAACGAATCCATCTCTATCTAAGAAAAGAGTCTAAGATAGATTAGCAATGCATCCATAGCGCCAGCGAACGGTTTTCAATAGCCTTCTTGTGTCTCTTTTCTTGTTGGTTTTGTCTGGTCAATGGAACCCCTGCTGCTGCCCCGGGACTTGTCGAGGGGTTGGGGTTGATCAATCGATGCTCGATCTCGATGCAAGTGATGAACGCCTCTTCTTGTTTGTGTGTGTGTGTGTGTGACGTCATGTTGATCGCGTTTGACGGCTGGGCGACGCTGTTTTGTGAGGTTGTGTTCTCCCTTGTGCAACGCTTTTCCCCTTGTAAGGCCTTCCTTCAGTCCCATAAATCCACTCTGTGTGATGTAACATGGTTGCTGTCGTTTGGTGCATGCGGCTTGACCTTCTCTCTGGCCTCTCTTGCCTCCCTCCCATGCACACCACCACGTGCGTCGCCCGTATTGGGGCCTCCCCTTTTAGTGTGTGTGCGTACCACGTTGAAACCTCTCTCTCTCCACTTGTTTGTGTGTTTGCGTACCACGTCATGGAAACCTTCCATTCTTGTTTGTTGTCATGCTGTCGCTCGTTCCTTCGCTCGTTTGTTCTCTCATGGCCGTGCAGGTGACCCCCTGATGCACAAGCTGGCGGCGATAGTGTCGCCGATGAAGTCCTCGTTCATCGTGGCCCACCTCAGACCGAGAGAGTTCGTTACCCAGATGCAGGCATGTTGCTGTTACACTGTTTTTTCTTCTTGTTGATCTAGCACAATAGGTCCATCTCTATCCCTAGGCATGCTGCTGTGTTATTCTTCTTAATCTACAATAATACGATCTATCTTTGTCCATAGGCATGTTTTTTTCCTTCAAAATGTAACACAATAATTCCATCTCTACCATAGCCAGGTTGCTGGTTGTTGGTTTCTAGTTTTTTTTTGTATATATTCCATTGTTGTATGTTTGATTGATCTTGTTGGATTGCAAAAAAGGCATCGCCGTCTATTGTAGCATGTACCCACAGCTAAATTTCTCCTGTTCTTTTTTCGCTTTTTCTTTCGGATTTCTTTCCTTCTTTTTCTTTCCTTGTTTCTCTCCAGGAGCGGCGTGCAAAGGAGAAGGCGATCGAAGCAGCCAAGAAGACGGTGTCGACGGCGGTGAGCGAGAAGAGGAAACCGGACCCCGAGATGGCGAAGCTGGCGGAGCAGGCCATCGCCAAAGACGAGACGGAGGAGGGGCAGTCTAGCCAGGAGTGCGAGGTAACTATATGTAGATAGTTATTTCATTTCTGGGTAACTATGTGTGGTAGATATTTCTTTCATTTCTTGGTGTGGTGTACAGAAAGATGTCTGTTGCTTGTTTGAGCTCCGATAGACGCCAGTTTACGAATCCCCAATCGAGGCGGGAGTGCCAGTATGTAGACGGATGTTTCATTTTTGCATTGTAAAAGAATGCAGATAGATGCCTGTGTTACCTGTTCGAACTCCGATAGACGCCGGTTTCCGAGTCTTTGTTCCTGCCGTTGCTTGCGTGTATCAAGCTGTGACCAGACTATCTGTTGTTTGTGTGTCGGTGTTTTTTTTTTTTCATGTTTTTTTTTTGACGTAGTATGCAGAGAGTTGCCTGTGTTACCTGTTTGAACGCCGATAGACGCCGGTTTCCGACTCTTTTGTTCCTGCCTTTCCTTGCGTGTACCAAGCTGTGACCAGACTATCTGTTGTTTGTGCGTGTTTTGTTTTGTTCCTGCCGTTGTTGTGGACCAAGCTTTGACCAGACTATCTGTTGTTTGTGTGTCTTGTCTTGTGTGTGTGTTTTTTTTTTTATCAGGTGCTGGACACGAGACAGACCTTCCTCAACCTGTGCCAGGGGAACCACTACCAGTTCGACATGCTCAGACGAGGGAAGCACTCTTCGATGATGGTGAGAGAGTATTTGCAGTCGAGCTCGAGCTTTCTACAAAGCAGAGGGGGCAAGCTGGCAGCAAGCAAGCAGGGTTGACTTATTTGTGCCCCCGAGAAAATTCCGACTGGTTTGCCGCATCATCACTGCTGTGTGCGCTTCATCTAAATAAGCTCGATTCTCTCTCTCTCCCCATAGGCGATAGGCTTTGCCGTTACGAATTCACCCTGGCCTCGTTTTTTTTTTTAGTACGATGTGTACAATCACAGGTGCTGTTTTGCTGTATGTGTTTCCTCTGTTAACTGGGTTCTCTGTCTCGCGATAGACTGTGCCGCCCCCGTGCTGACCCTGGTCTCGTTTTTCTTTCTATCCGCGTGACACGACATGACAGGTGCTGTACCACCTGTGCAACCCGGACGTGCCCAAGTTCCTGTCGACGTGCTCGAACTGCTACAAGGAGATCCACTCAGGGGACCGGTATCACTGTGAGGTCTGCACGGACTTCGACCTCTGCAAGGCAAGAAGGGAGAGATATGGCATGGCATGGCCTGGCATGGCATGGCACGACAGCCATATATACGTTTCTGTGTGTGCTAAGTTCGGATGTTTGTCTTTGATGGCATGGCAAAAGGCATGGCATGGCTTGATAGCCGCACCGATCTTTCTGTTTATGGTTTGGGCTGGGATCTGGTCTTTGATGGCAGAGTCGAAACAACTGAAAGATCGACACACATCACGGTTGGTTCACAAATCCTGTTTTGTGTGTGCATGGTGCGTTTCACGGAGGTGTTGTCGGACGTGATGGTTTACATAGCTTCCACGGCTCGGGCCATCTTGCTCTTTTGGACAGCGAACGTGTGCGCTGTGCTTGTGGCTGTGCTGAGCCAGCGTGCATCGCCAGAGGTTCACAGCCTCTTGCTGTCAACTCTCGCTTGCCTCTTGTTTTCATCTCGAGTTTTATGTTTTTCTCTCTCAACCCCCTTCATATCGCTTCGTTCTACCTCGGGGGCCCCACAGGAGTGCTACAAGGCGGTGCCGCACCCCCACCCCCTCAAGCCCATCCCGGTGCGCCCGGCGGCGCAGCAGCAGAAGCACCTCAGCCCCGCGCAGCGAGAGGAGCGGCAGAGGCACATCAAGCTGCACATGCAGCTGCTCCAGCACGCTTCGACGTGCGAGGATCGAAACTGCCAGTCCAAGAACTGCTCACGGATGAAGGTGAGAGCCTGAACGAACCTCTCGTATTTGTTTCTGTGTAATAAATACACCAGCTTTTTTTGGTTGAGTTTGTGCTTTTTTTATTGTGTTGTCTTGTTTCTATATTTACTATTGTAAGTAGATTTTTGTTGCAAAATGTGTGTGTGTTCGTCCCCTGCATTCTGACGCCGATTCACAGACCTTTAGGCGTAGTATATACCTGACGTGTCAGCCGGGGTTACACAAGAGGAAGGTCACACAGGAACTCTTTTTTTGCGTGTATGTTTTTCTGGTCTTGTTTCTAGTTTTGCTGGTAGATTTTTGAGGCACTGCGCGTGGTGTGCTTGGCGTGCCCCGAGTGCTATTTGCCATGTGCGTGTCTTTTTTGTTTTTTTAGGAAATGCTGTACACGTGTAGTCACTGAAAGGGTACCCGGTGGAAATCGTACAGAACCACAGCATTAGTCGAAGGGGTTATGTGTCGGCAATACGTGTAGTGATCTTTCTCCAAACGACCTTGATTTTTGCTTGTTGGAGCTACTACGGGAGAAGTGCACGACCTTTGGCTGTTGGGAGGGCCTATATTTTCCACGTCGATGTCACTGGATCTACACCATCGAAGACCTCCCTCTTTAGGCCATCCCGATCAGATATGAACAGCTCAAATCAGCCCTTCTCTGATGCTGAGGATACGTCTTGGCGTGAAACCTTCTTGTTTTTTGTCGTTGTTGTTTTTGTTACTCTTTTTTGTCAGAACCTCTTGACGCACGGGGCGAGCTGCACCATCCGGGCCCAGGGCGGCTGCGGCGTGTGCAAGCGCATTTGGGCTCTTCTGCAGATTCACGCGAGGCAGTGCAAGAAGGATCGGTACGTGGGAAAAGGAACCAGAGAGAGTCAGAGACAGAGACAGAGAGCTATGTATTGTGATGGTCGAGGGAGACCAAAAGTTTGTTTTCGATATTGGGTGAAGATTAATTTACCTGCTTTCTGCTTGTATGCGTACGTGTTTTCTACTTGTACGATGTGGTTGTCCTTTCCTTTGCTCGCTGAGCACGTGGCTAAATCCAAAGTATTTATTTTGTGATGATTTATATATCGTGCTCCCCGTCTCCTGTTCGTCGTGAGTCTCAAGTGATTTTTTTCGTTTTTTCTCCGTCCTTTTTCTCGTGTAATTTCTTGTGCTATATGCTTGTAATTTGTCCTTGTTATGCTGATGCCTTGGCTTCCCAATTTGCTTGCTTTTCTCATGCTGCACGTTGTGCTACAAGTATGTTTTTTTTTGTTTATCCCATTTTTTTTCTTGTTGTTTTTTCGCTTTCGGTGGCCGAAAAAACAGATGCTCCGTGCCGAAGTGTCGGCAGCTGCGGCAGCACATGCGCTTCCTGCGAGAGCAGCAGCAGGCCATGGACGACCGGCGAAGGCAGGCGATGAACGAGTGGTCTCGGAACAGACAGGAGGGAAGCGGCAGCTAGCCTTAGCCCCTCGATGCGATCGATCAATCGACACCCACCCCTCAGTTCTACACATCCGCCGTTCCTTTCCAGTGGGTCAGCTAGCTAGCCGGCTTGCCTTGAACTCGCCCGAGCTTGGACTGGCCCGATTTTGACGTGGCGCTGTTTAGATAGGGTGGTACATAGGGATTTATTGTCTGTGGCATGTCTACCTGATGACAGGAGGAAGTCAATATGGAGACAGGGGGAAAGGAGGGGGGGACCAGAAACAGTCGGTTCTGGTTTTGCCTCCCTCCCTCCCTGCACACTCCACACTCCTCGGGCTCTAGCTTGGTGTGTGTGTTTGAGTGTGTGTGTGTTGTTTTTTGCCGTCAATCTCTCCCTGTAGGTAAGTCTTCTCGGTCGATGCCGTCACTTCGCCCTGCGAATGGCATGAGCGACCGCAAGTTTTACGGCGCGCGCGACGCAAGCGCGCAAAGAGTAGAGCAGAGCAGAGCGAAATCCGACCGACTTCGGCTTGAGAACCAGAAGAGCACGTGGTCGTGTGTGCTTTGGTTGTGGCGGGTGAGACAAAAGGCAGAGGTGGTGCGGCAGGCATCAGTCAGATATATAGAAGAAAAGCCACACGAAACGAACGATTTTTTTGTGGTGTCTTTTTGTTTTTTTGCATGTCCCCGGGTTTATATAGCGGTGCGGGCGGGAATGCGTGGTCCTTTCCACCTTCCCCGGCGCTTGGGGAGGCCAAAACGTGGGGGGGGGGGGGGGGGAGAAGTGTGACGCTGTAGGGAGGTTAGTCGCATTCGATGGTGTGGTGGTGTGGTGTCGTACATGTATGTCTATCCTCCACCGAGCGGCAGCAACACCTCGTGTCGCCAGAGACGAGCGTTTTGAGGGTAGCAAC